AAAAAAAAAAAAAAAGAAAGTTAGCTAAGGTTTCAAAATTCAAACTCCTGATACTGAGTTAAAAACTATTTTTAAAAAAGAGTATGTCTAGCTAGCCTTTGTTCCATTGTAATTAAAAAAAAAACACATTGAGTGCCCAATGTACGCCTTTTAACATTTTGTTCAATTTTCAATTGATGTATAATTATGTCAGTCAAAAATATACCTCTGAAGTACAAGTTTGAATAACAACACATTTTACATTTACACATTTTTCTCCTGGAATTCGATCTAACTTTTCACTTGTAATTAGAAATATTGGGAAATATAAATATGCAATTATTTAGAAAAAAAACTGAAATTCTCCTTTAGAGTCTAGAAGAATGATGATACAAGTGATCTTGGAAATTTTTCTTCCAGGTGGTTTCGAATCTTTGAAAAATCTTCAGAAACTAGTTGTGGACCACAATCGGTTAATTAGTACGAAAGGCCTTTGTGATACTCCTGCCATTATATACCTGGATTGCTCACATAATCATCTTACTGAAGTTGAGGGCATTGAAAACTGTGGATTGCTCCAAATACTGAAGTTACAGGGAAATTATCTAAGTGAGGTAATTGCTTTGAATTAATTTCTATGATTAATGCAACATTTTTTTCTTTTGATGGAAATATCAAGCACCCATTTTAAAAGAAATATTCATAAATTTTCCCTTGTTCTTTTTTGCTTATCAGCTATATCTGATTTTCACTTTACTTTGAACTATTACATTTCTTTGTTTAAAAAAATATTTATCATAGTTAGAATATTTTCTAAAGAAATATAATTTAACATTAGTTTTTCATAATACCAAAATATAGTAAATCATAACTTTTCAGTTATATTTCAGTATGTTAAGTGGGACCAAATTCTCTTCATAAAATTCTAATTAATATTATTCATCATGAAGTACCTTTTATAAAAAAAATGAATTCTATTATGAGGTTAATTCTTAGAAATCTTATTTATACTAAAATTCTCATAACATTACACTTTGTTTGACTTATGATACACAGTTTACCAGAATATATATGTTGTTAGTTTTAGTAGGTTTTATATTTTTAAATTTGGTTAAATGACAAAAATATTTTGTTTACAATAAGCTAATGACCCAATTTTAAATGCAGCTTCCATCCTTGGCAAATCATGTTCTACTAAGAGAATTGTACTTGGATGATAACAGCATTTCAACTGTAGAAGCATTTTCCTCATTTTGGCTGCCTTTACTACAAAACTTGACTCTCTCTCAAAACAGGTAAAAAAATCAGCTTTGCTTAGACAATAAGCGCAGTGAATGATAAATGTGTGATCTTCATAAAAAGTAGAAAAGCTGTGAATGAAAGTGCATCATAGTAAACAAGTACATTAATTATAAGTATAACTTTATAGATTTTAAAAAATTAAAGTAGTATGTTGACATACCCTTGGATTTTAGTAGACCTTTAATTTTCACTTTTCCGACTCTTTGTTTCTTCTTAAAGACATACTTGTAGAAATCTCTCACGGGAGGTTTGTTTATATTTGTAAAGAATATGGTCCTTGGAAAATACAAGAGGTAGTTAATTTAATTCAGAAGGATGTCTCATTCTCTCAAATGGTACTTATTAAGTTGTGGAAGAACGATTTTTAATCTGCTCTCTACTTGCATGTCGTTTTGTAACTGTTAAGACTGATGTAAATTTGATTTCCCTAAGGATATAAAGTAACGCTTAAAAAAATACCTTAACATTAATTTGAGATGGGTACCTGCCACAGAGGATCCGTTTGAAACCAGCAAACATCTGGATCTTTGCAGAGAATAACTGTCTGAAACCAGGAGCACACTATGTGTATGTCTCCTTCTGCTTAATATTTCATTGAGACCTATTTGCTAATATGATTAATTTGTTCATGAAAGGCACATGAAATAGGGAAAAGGAACCACCTTTTAACAAGAAATTTCTTCTTTGAGTTATACAATTCTTGCAAAACAAGTGAACAAGGAAAACCCAGTGTTAATAGGCATATCTATTTTTCCTTTAAAAAAATAAAGTTTTCTCTCAATCTCTGCCATAATAGTGCTCATTCTTTAAGCATGTATGTCCAAAATAATTTAACTTCCACTTAATAAACTATTCCACTGTTTGATAAATCAAAAACTGAATCTTATTCCAAAAGCCCCTCAAGTTGTTTTAATCAGATCTAAAATATGAAAGATGATTTTGCTTTAAAAAGACATTTATTACAAAGCCAGCTCTATCACATTACACTGTTTAAGTAATTTGGACCATCCACAAACCCATTGGGTCTTTTCACAATATTTCTGGGTAAGAAATAAAATTTTAGTAAAAATAACTATCTTTAGATGTATGTATTAAATCACTAAATAATTGACATATCTAACATACACCATAGAAATTGATCTCAAGCCATGTTGATGGGCATAATAATAATTTAAAAGATTAGAAATATTTAAATCATGAATCTTTGAGAAATAATGCTTTTAATTTCTTTGGGGGTGGATTCTTTTTAATTTATATTTCCTAATTCTTTTTTGCCTTTAATTTCTTTGGACAAGTTAAGTCATCAAAGAAATATTCTACTTTAAAAATTAAAATTAACACTATTGAAACTTTTACCCTATCAATCTAATATGGCTAGGAATTATACAAACTACACCATTAAATTTTCTTTTAAGTTGATAACAATCACTGGTATACTTAAACCAAACAATACTTATTTAGAATTTCATTTGCTTAGCCTCATAAAATTTGGATATTGAGGTAACGTTTGCTTTTTTGGAGGCTACAAAACTGAATAATATTCAATATATCTCTACCCTCAAGAAACTCTTGGAAATAAAAGAACAAAACCTTTTAAACTTAACTGTATAAAAAAGAGGTAAAATTATTATATAATATATGCTGTTTGAATTTTTTAATAATACTGCTACCTTTATTTGAATATAGTTTTTGTGGGTCTCTCGAAGCTCTTTGCACGTGTAACCTACCATTTCTGAGAGGATGAAGCGAGAAGGTCTCAGGGAACCACGGAAATGTGATTCATCTGAATGGACATATATAGTGTGAAATTATTTCCTAAAATCATAGGGAAAAATATTTTCAACCTTAGCTAATACTATTAAATGTAAAAATTACCCATCTTACATTAATCTTTTACATGTGCATTGAATTTTTCAGAACCATATCAGGTTTAGTAAAACTGAGGGTCAGCAAATCTAGGTTGGAATTCTTAATCTACAATTCATCTGTCAGTTGACATTGAACAACTCTGATTTTACTACCTAAGTCTCACATTTTTCCATGTGTAAAAAAAGGAAGTGATCCCCATCTTACCTATTGTATGGGAATATAATGATGAGCCTAAAAGGAAAATGTATGTGAATACATTTTGTAAACCTGAGAAGAATTTTGTAAGTGTGATATTTGGATTTGTGGCTGGTATGTCTTTTAAATTGTATATATTTTTCTTTTAATTTTTGATAAATATTTTCATCACAAGGAAGAAATTATGTTTCCATATGTTTTTTTTTCCAACAAATGAAATACATATAAAGAATGATACTTAGTACATATTGTTTGAAATACTTGTTTCATCCTGACTTCTGTTTTAAATTTCGTTAGGACATGTGACTGTTTAAGTTTGACTCAGCGGAGTTCTAACTTGAAGACTCTCAGGCTTCATAAGCCTTTCTACTTCCAGTGAAATTCTAAGTAGGAGCAGAAAGTGGAAACTATTACCCATTGGCTGCTCATTGTACAAATCTTTTGCTTTTTGTCGACTTTGAAATTTATATCTTTTTTATGCCCAAGGCTAATGTGACAAGGTCAAATGGTATTAGGTTTTCACTAATGTCCTTTGTCTTTCTGGTTTGAATTTTCTTTGAGAAAAATATACACAGAATGTCAGTAAAAAGGAAAAGTTCTAGAGGTTTTTTCTAAAAAAAAACAGCATTCTACTATTAGGTTTCTACCATCTTAATGAATAGTCATAAAGGTGAATGAAAAACCAGTTTCTTGATGACATTTCCAAAAAAAAAAACAACCCAAAAACAAAAAACATGATTCTAAAAGCATGGATATCTGAAATGATGAAATTTCAATATTATAAAAATATTTGGTCAAAACATATATTTTTTTACTTGGATTGATATTTGCAAAGGAGATTTTTGTTTTTAACTCTAAAACTTTATTGGCTATTTTTACTTGATGTCTTCATATATCCTGTTGTATGTGTTACCTTTATATTACCATATAACTTAATGGTTGAAAACATGAGATATTTTGAAAAAAGAGAAAAATTCATTATTGATTAATCTTTCCAAATCCTTTTAGTAGAAGGGCAAAGACTTAGTATTATAAATATATTAAAGGTAGAAAACAAATAAGAATTTTCTTGTTAATAAATACTCATGTTATAATTATATTTTCACTTGAAGAACTTCAATTTTTTACTTGTAACAATGATCGGGAACATTCCTAAATAGGATATGTCATAATATTAGGGCTTAAATTCACTAATTATTTATTGACAAAGTTATAAATTTGCCTGCCTTCCTTCCTTCCTTCCTTCCTTCCTCTCTTCCTTTTCCATATACATGTGACATTTCAGTAAATTTTGCCCTTAAGGAGTGTGTATACAAATAATGAAGTGTATGTATAAATGTAATAGCCAATATTTGTTCACTTTTTCTTTTATTACCTTGGGTTTTTTCCCCCTGGAAATTGTTTTTAAGAAGTAGTGTTGTATAGATTCAGTGGAAATAGTAATATTGTATGTAGGATTGGCTACATTCAGAGAGATCTTCTTCCAGCCTATTATTTAGTCTATTTTCATCAGTAGTATCTTATGTCTCTTTGCTAATACAGAACAGGATAGTACAAGAGAGGAGTCAAGGGCAATCAAAGGGTTAGTTCTGGGCCAGACCCACGAGGCCTCGATTCACAGCATTACTCTGTAAGCTTCTGACCTTACAATAATAGTATTTCCCCCCAATGGCAGAGAGCTGTTAGAAATAAAGATGTAAAAATCTCTGCCGGGATAACCAGAGGGATGGTATTTTAAAAAGACGAAAGAAAGAAAGAAAAGAAAGAAAGAAAGAAAGAAAAAAAAGAAAGAAAGAAAGAAGGAAAGGAGGAAAGGAGGAAGGGAGGTAGGGAGGAAGGGAGGAAGGGAGGAAGGAAGAGAAAGAAAGAGAAAAGAAATAAAAGAACTGGAAATTAATGCATACTTTTTTTTTGTACCCAAAACACTCCTTTAGTTGAAGCATATTTTGAATAATTATGGAGTTCCGACATTTATAGGGGGTATTAGTTCAGAATACTTTTGTATATGTGATGTGAATACATTTTATATGAAGGGATTTTTGTCTTATTTAAAGACGTAGAAGAGCTGGCTAAATTTTTATTTACAAATAGCTAGGGTAATGTGATACTATGTTTATAGTAAGTAAAGACTTGTCTTAGTTAGAAATGTAAATCAAACTAAAGTTAAATTTCCTTTCATAGCTTTTGTTTCCAAGATGTCAATATTTTGAGTATCACTTATGTTCCTTGCTTGAATATAGGTTCTTTTTTTTTTTAGAGATTTTATTGGGGAATTGGGGGAGGGAAACAGCATTGGGGAATTGGGGGAAGGGGAACAGACAAGTTGCTGTCCTTTTGTTCTTCAGTCTAGTTTTCGAGTACGTCGCTTCACTGGCCCATGCTGGTATTATCATTGTGTTCTTCCCAGGTGAGGCAGATCAGTCACCAGCCACTGGACAGCTGCTCACGGGGACTGTTGGCAGCTCACACCGGCTGCCAGCTGCTCACACTGGCTGCCAGCCTCTCACGGTAGCTTACGGCAGCCCACTGCAGCCCCGCTGCAGCCTACACCAACGCCAGCAACTCATGGGCATCCTAGCTCCAGGTTGAGCTGTTGTTTACCATCTTAGCTGTAGAGGATGCAGCATCACTGGCCCTCATGTGGGATACGAACTGGGGTCCTGCTGCTCAGAGCTGGCATCCCAAGCCAACTCCTAACCAACATGCCACTTGGCTGGCCTAAATATAGGTTGTTAATGACAAGTTTATCTTAGAAAATGATAGAAACTTGTAAAAAAATAGAAGGAAAGTTTAATGTTACTAGAATTTGAACATGCATGAGTTAATGAGTATTGGTTTTAAATAGTTGTATATTTCTATCAGGTTAAGTCTATTATATTAATATAAAATATTTCTTATTATTGTGTTTCTTGCATGCATATTTCCAATTTAAAAATAAGCCATCCAGTCAAAAAAGTGAAGATAAATATTTTAATGATTTTACCTCCTGTTAGTTTAAATTATGTGTTTGAGCCAGGAAAAATATGTCAATAATATAAAGCCTCTCTATGTTTGGCTTTATACAAAGACAAAACAAAACAATACTAACAAAATACCCACTTATTTAAATCCCAGTACACATTAAAATCCATGATATTTGTCATTGCAATTGATAATTACATGGTAATTTAGAAATGAATATAAATTTTCCATGATAGAATACTTAAACTTTTATAATTATTATATTTTAATAAGTACATTAATAAATATTATAATTTTACTTGATTGTATAACTACAATTGCATATATATATATCTATATATAATTGCATATCATCATGAGGTGTGACAGTTAAGTTCCCGAACTTGTTGCAATGATGTTGCTAACCCTTTTTTGATATCAGAGGGATTATTCATTATGAAATTGTAACAACTGGACAAACTATTAACCAAGTTTACCATATGGAAGTGCTAAAAAAGGCTGCGTGAAAAAGTTAGATAAAAACAACCTGAACTTTTCATCAACAATTCATGGCTCTTGTATCACGATAATGCACCAGCTCACAGAGCACTGTCTGTGAGGGAGTTTTTAGCCAGTAAACAAATAACTGTATTGGAACACCCTCCCTACTCACCTGATCTGGCCCCCAATGACTTCTTTCTTTACCTGAAGATAAAGGAAATATTGAAAGGAAGACATTTTGATGATATTTAGGACATCAAGGGTAATACGACAACAGCTCTGATGGCCATTCCAGGAAAAGAGTTCCAAAATTGCTTTTAAGAGTGGACTGGGTGCTGGCATCAGTGCGTAGCTTCCCAAGGGGAGTACTTCGAAGGTGACTGTAGTGATATTCAGCAATGAGGTATGTAGCACATTTTCTAGGATGAGCTCATGAACTTAATTGTCTGACCTTGGTATAATTGTGTTATATAAGTGTATGATTTTTATAGTTAGTTAAATAATGTTAATGGTATTCTAATTAAAATTTTCATGAATCCTGTTTTTTTTTTCAGTTTGACAAAAATCATACCGCTTTTTCATTTTTTTTCTCTGGAAAAACTAGATGTCAGCAACAATTGTCTTTCTGGTAAGTTTAGAATAATATATATTTTTTATAAAGTAGGCTTTTGATATTATATAGGAGTTTTGATATTGATATAGGAGTTTGTGTTTCATATATGATGAGGGGTTGTTTTGATAGATGTGCTAATGGCATTTACAGTATATATATATACAAAAATACACACACACACACACACACAATAAGGAATAGAGGAGGAAAATTTTATTTTTAAAGTCTTAGGCTGGACCTAAGAGTTTAACTGACACAAGACAGGAAAAAAGAATACAATTTTTAATTGTTTTGCTTTTTTTTTTACATGTACGTGGGGCTTCTCACAAGAAAAATAAAGATCCTGAAAAGCAATTAGAATTAAACACTTATATAGTGAGTTGGACACAGTAATGAACACATGACAAAGCAAATGTGCTTAGGGGAAGGTAGTTAACTGGATGGAAAAGTGACTAGAAAATAAGGGCTAGTTTACCAGGTGTGTACACATCTCCCTTAGCCTCTACTTCCCATCCTTGTGATAAGAATATCTCTTTGCTCATGGTTTAGGAGGGGGCATCTTTCACATAGGAATTTAACCTCCTACTTTAAAGAAAAAGAAGAAAGGTCAGAGTATCCTTGCATCTACTGTTTCTTAAGTTCTATTCCGGTATATTGAGGCTCCATGCCCTTAACTCTTTCAAAGACATAGTGAAATAATTCAATTAATTTTTTTCCACTTTTAAAATCAGATTACTTCCACATCTTTCTGGTAGACCTAAGCAAATGCCTAATGATATTTTAATTTAAAATTTATGTATCTTTTAACTGTAAAATAAGTAGCCTAGTGAAGATGACTAAACAAACTTGTTTAACCTATTGATGCCTAACAAATATAAAGGAGACAGACACCCATTAAAAATGTATTAAATGAATTACTGCCATGTCAGACAACATGGATGAATCTTGAGAGTATCATGCTAAGCAAAATAAGTCAGACAGAAAAAGTCGAGAACCATATGATTTCACTCATATAACTGAAAGAAACAAATGACCAAGACAAACAAAAACTCATAGACACAAACAACTGTTTAGTAGTTACCAGAGGGAAAAGGGGAGGGGGAAGGTAGAAAGGGTAAAGTGGGTCAATATGTGGTGACAGAAGGAGATTTCACTCTGGATGGTGAACACACAATGCAATCTACGATGATGTATTGTAGAAATGTACACGTCAAACCTATATAATTTTATTAACCAATGTCACCTCAATAAATTTAATAAAAAATGTACTAAATTAAAGAATGTTGAATAGACTAACCCCCCCAACCCAAATTTCCCCATCCCTATTCCCAGTTAAACCCCTCATTGAGACAACTTTGGTTTTAATTTGTCACCATAGGTTAATTTTGACTGTTCTACATCTTTTTATTAATGGGATCAAACCTTATATTCTCTTTTGCCTCCTGTTTTCTTTGCTGAGCATTCATGAGATATTCTACCATGTTGTTTATACATCAGTAGGCTGTTTTTTGTATGTTTGTTTTTTGTTTGTTTGTTTGCTGAATGTAATCCATTGTATGAATATATAATATATCACAATTTGTCACTTCTCCTGTTGATCAATATTTTAATTGTTTGGAGTTTGGGGCTAATATGCTTATAAAGTTCCTATGGAAACTCTTGTACAAATATTTTTGTGGACATATGTTTTCAGATCTCTTGGGTAAATATGTAAGAGTATAATTGCTGGATAATAGAGTAGGTGTATGTTTAACTTTTTACAAAACTGAAAAAACTATTTTCCAAAGTAGTTGTAACATTTTAAACCTCCACAAGCTATGTATGAGAGTTCCAATTGGTTCATTCTAGAGGGTAATTAGTATTTCTTTGTATTATCTCTTTTAGTTTGTGTTTTCCTGATGAATAATGACAATGTACCTCTTTGCATGTATTTATTGATATCTGTATATTATTTGTGCCTATTCAAGTGGTTTACCATTCTTTTGTTTTTCTCTTATGATTTGTATATGTTCTTTATGTATTCTAGATGAAATACTTTCTCAGATATATGTTTTGAAATATTTTCTCCCAGTCCTCTTTCGATGAAATTTATCGTTTTTAATAATTATTGCCCTGTGTAGTATTTTCCCACCTCCCAACTGAGAAGATGATTTCCTATTCTTTCTCATATAAGTTTTGTACTTTTACTTTTTACCTTTGGCTCTATGATCTATCTCAGATTAATTTTTATGAATGGCATGAAATAGGGGATGAGCTCAGGTTTTAACATGGTTATCTAGTTGTTCCAATAGCATTTGTTGACCAAACTTTTTTCCTCATTGAAATACTTTGGTGTTTTTTTTAAAAAAATTGATTTACGCTTGGCTACTTTGGATGTGTTTGTATTAACTGCTCTTCTCTTGATAAGTCATATTTTTTCTATTTTTTTATATGTCTAGTGATTTTTAACTGTATCTTGAACATAGTACATTATACAGTTTGCTAAGTCTGGACATTGTTGTCTTCCTTTTTTTTCTTTCTTTTTTATTTTATTTATTTTTTCTTTTTTTAAATTGAAATTTATTGGGGGTAATGTTGACTTTCTTTTAGAGTGTGTTAAATGTAATTCTCTGGCAGGCAGTTACAATATAAATGGATAGTTTTGTTTCTGTCAGCCTTAATTTTCTTCTCTCCTAGGACAAGTCATTTTAGTTTTCACCACTTAGTGCATGCCCCTACCCCAGGCATTGTCTTCATGCCTAATGCATAGTCCTTCTGGATTTTAGCTAAATCACTGAGATACTCAATTAAGTCTCACTCTGGCTGGGCTGATACTCCAATGTCTTTCATTGCTGCATGAACTTTAGTGTCATCATTCAGTTCTCAGCCCTACAGAAGGTGATATCTGCTGGGTTTTTCAGAGTCTTGCTGCCCTGCCTATGTCACACCTAGTTCTTGTCCAAGCACCTATGGTAAATCTTCACATAGACTTATTTCCCCAATTCTCTCCCCCACAACATATACACACACAGCTGCTTTTCAGTGCTTTTTACCATAATTCCAGCTTCAGTTCTAATTTTTGCATCCGCTCTCAGCAAAACAGCCTCTTTGCTTGGTCTCCACTTTTCTGCTCTGAAGTGGTAAAATGCTTTCAGGAAGAAAATGTTGTTGACTGTAGGTTCACCTTGTGTGTTTCTATTCTCTCAGTCAGGCTTAACAACAGGTGCTTCACATATATTGTACAGTTTTATGATTGTTTTCTGTGGGATAGCAATTCCAGCATAAATTTCTTTGTAATGTACTCTAGATGGACCTGCTATTTTTACTTTTGAAAGTTTAATAGGTCCATGTAATTCTATTTAAGTATATGCTCAATTTTGCCACTCATCCTATTACTTTAGATTTTCACTTTTTCAGATTCTGTGTTCACAGTCTTCCTTTACACACATTATTTCGTTGAATTCAGACCCTATGAGATAGGTATGAAAGTGATCATAAATCAGTTGTATGATTTGTGTAAGTTCACACAGCTGCTAAATAGTATAAATAAATATTCTGACAGCAGAGCCTGTGTTCCTCATACAGTCTCCTTTCAAAGGCATATTGTTTTCTGCAAAAGAAAAAAATTTTTGTGTATTTTCTTTAATAGAGAATTAAATAAGTGATCATTGATCTGTGACTATTATCTTTATCTGAGATACTTTTCATAATGATTCTTATTATTTTTGTAGATCTTACAAGTGCCATAAATGGGTTTAATGCATGCTTTTCTCTCCGTGAATTGACTCTCACTGGAAATCCACTTCTTCAAGAAATAAACTGGAGGTAAGCAAACATTGCTGCACCCTATGCACATACTTTATTATAGTTGAAGAAACATAATTTGATGAAAATTGTTCTATGTATACTAATTGTTTGGGAAAAGTTAATAAAAATGTAAAAGTTATTCAAGACAAAAAGGTTTTATAAAAGTAGTTTAAAAATATCTTCAGCCTAAAATAATTTTTGCACAGGTATGAACTAATGCAAATTTGAAATGATAATTCTGATCCATATCATGGATTATGTGACAATTTTAGTATAGTGCTAACTTGGGTTTTATATTTATAGAAAAGATATTTGTTGGGAATTACTTTGTATGAGTGATCTAAATCACATAGCTTGCTACTTAAAATTATTTCCTTTCTGCCAATTATTTGGTTTTTGTTTTAATTTCTTAAAAGAGAACTTTGGTATCCATTAAAGTATGTTTATAAGCATATGTAAATTCATGTGTTTCTTGAAATACTGCAGTATCTATATGTAAATGAAGAAAAATGTTTTGTAATTTTAAAATAAATTTTTTAAAAGTTTTTTCTAAGCTAAAACTTTTATATTATACTAACGTTTCCCGAAAATTGCCAGGCATTTTTTCTTAAAATCAACTTTTTTGAGACAATTTACATATAATACACTTCATTTTGTTTGAGTATGGATATTGTGTAAATTCTACCACAGAAAAGATATTGAACATTTCTGTCATCTCAGATAATCGCCTCATATGCCGTTGCAGTCAACCTCCTCTCCCCACCGTCTTTATGCTTTTGTTTCTGACCTGAAGTCTGCTGTCGTTCTTATCTTCATTTCTCTGTCTCTGGGTACTTTTAAGATTTTCTCTTTATCAGTCAGTGATTTTCAGCAATTTGATTGTGGTGTGTTTTGGTGTGGTTTTATACAGATTTACTCTGCATAGGATTAATTATATCTCCTGGATCTGATCGATTTGTAGTTTCCATAAAATTGGGAAATTGTTTGGCCATTATTATTTAAAATATTCTTTTCTATCTCTTTCCTGTTTTCTCCTACGAAGACTTCTATTTGCCAATATTATAGCACTTGATATATCCCAGAAGTTGCTATTGCTCTATTCTTTTATTTAATATACTTTTTTCCTGCCTATTTTTCACTCTTAGTAGTTATTTCTGTCTTCAAGTTCTCTGATACATTCTTTCTATTTATCTACTCTGTAATTAATCCCATCCAGACCATTTTTCAGTTCAGATTTCAAATATTGTGTTTTTCTTCTCTAAAAGTTTCATTTGTGTATTTTTTTTAACATTTGAAATATCTCTTCTAATCAGGCTCATGTTTTCCTGAATCATCTTGAACATATGGAGAATACTTTTTGAGATTTTTATTAAAAATATAGTTAGCATAAAATATTATATTAGTTTCAGGTGTACACAATAGTTTATAGTTCCACCATTTATATATCTAAAGAAGTGGTCACCCTGATAAGTCCAGCAACCATCTGACACCATACTATGTTATCACAATAGTATTGACAATATTCCCTATGCTGTACATTAGGTACATCCCCATCACTTATTTGTTTTATACCTGGAAATTTGGACCACTTATTGACCTTTACCTCCTTCCCCCTGTTTAATTTTTTCGTTACAGTTGACATTCAATATTATTTTATATTAATTTTAGGTGTACATTGGTTAGACATTTATATAATTGAAGAAGTGATCAATTCCCTTACTAGTCTAGTATCCACCTGACACTCTACATAGTTATTTCCATATTATTGACTACATTCCCTTTGCTTAACTTTGCATCCCCATGACCATTTCATAACTACCAATGTGTACTTCTTAATCCCTTCACCTTTTCCTCCTTGTCCCCCAGGTCCTCTCCCATCTATCAACCTGATATATCTAATACCCATCTGATACCATGCGTAGTTATTATAATATGATTGACTATAATCCTTATGCTATACCCTACTTTCCCATGACTACTTTGTAACAACCAATTTGTACTTCTTAATCCCTTCCCTTTTTTCACCCACTCCCTCAACGCCCCTCTCATCTGGCAACCATCAAAATGTTCTCTGTGTCTAGGAGTCTGTTTCTGTTTTGCTTATGTTGTTCAGATTTGCATATAAGCAAAATCACATTGCATCTGTCTTTTACTGTCTGACGTACTTCACTCAGCACAATACCCTCTGCAGATGGTGAGAACCCATTCCCTTCCACTGCAGAGCAATATTCCACTGTATATATGTACCACCTCCTCTTTATCCATTCTTCTATCAACAGACACCCAGGCTACCTCCACATTTTGGTCATTGTAAACAATACTGCAATGAACATATGGATGCACATGTCCCCTCCAAGGGGGCACATATTTGTTTCCTCATTTTGGCTGCCTCTCTGTGTTTGTTTCTATGTATTACGTAGGGCTCTTATGTCTCCCAGGCTTGCCATGTGGCCTAAGTAGTAGGGGTCCTGTGGGGCCTGGTGGCACAGTTTCCTTGGTCACCTGCTCCAGGTGCTCCAGAAATGTCCCTTGTGTGGGCTGTGTGTGCCCTCCTGTTACAGTTGAGACTGATTGCTGTTGGCATGTCAGTGGGTGGTATTGATCCTCAGGCTGACTGGCTCTGGGGTTGGCCACATCTACAGCTTTTGAACTGCTATGCACGTGGCTTACCCCACTGAGTGGGATTCACCTCAGAGGGCTCTGGTGCCTGTTGAGACCACCCTTTATGTGTGCCATCTGTGGGCTAATTGGATGGTGCTCTGCTGTGGTCTGAAGCCAACCTCCAAGTATGTTGGTTCTGGCACCTCTTGGGTGGGGCTCCGGTGCAGCCCAGGTCAGCCACTGCCTGTGACTGGCTGAGGGCTACCTGGTAGGAGCTACAAAGTGATCCATAGTTTGTTGCTGCCTGTGCTATACTTGGACGCATGTGGGAGAGGCCACGATGCAAACCTAGGATGGCTTCCAGCAGTACTAGGCCTGGGGTAGCTCCACAAAAAGCCAGGACACTCTGAGGTCAGCTGCCAGCTCCTATAAGATTCAGCTGCTAGCAAAGCCTCCTGTGGTAAACAAGTTGTGTAAGGCGGGGCCTTAGTGAGTCAGCAGGATGGAGCAGTGGATTGCACCTGCCTGCCAGCTGCTCAGGAGGAAGGCCCCACACAGGGCAAATGAAGACTGTCTCTCCAGCGCTCGCCCTGAAGTTACACAACTCGGTCTCTTCCCATGTATCTCCCAATACCCCCAGCATCACCAGCCCTCCACAGGAGCCCAGGGTGAGTGCCTGTGCGGGCCCTTTAAGAGGATGGCTGGGTTTCCCACAGCTTTCTGTCTCAGGCAGATGTTGTGGGGCTTCTCCTCCAGCACCAATACTCTGGGCTGGGGAGTCTGGTGTGAGGGGCTGGGGTCACCCACTCCTTCATGGGAACCTCTGTGGCTGACATATCTCTCCAGATTTTCAACCACCACACAAGGGTGTGGGACTAGCCTGTTTTGCATCTCTGCCCCTCCTGCCCGTCTCATTGTGCATCTTCTTTATATCCTTAGTTATCAAACTTCTGTTCAGCTAGACTTCAGATGGTTCTCCAGGTCTACTGTTCTATAATTTAGTTGTAAATTTGATGTGTTCACAGGATGAGGCAAGCACAGCGTTTATCTACTCTGCCATCTTGAATCTTCTCTCCCTTCCCCTGGAAAATATTTATAATAGCTGTTTTAACATTTTTTTCTGCTAGTTCCATCATCTCTATTATTTTGAGGTTGATTTTTTTTTTTTTTTTTTTTTTTACTTTTTAAATGGTCCTTGGTCATATTTCCCTGCTGCTTGCATGATTGGTCAATTTTGGTTGTATTCTGGACATTTTTAATTTTATACTGTTGATTTCTAAATTTTCCTTTAAATAGCATCTATTTTGTTCCTGACATGCAGCAACTAAATTACTTGGAATTACTGATATACTTTCAAAGCTTGCTTTTACGTTCTGAAGGAAACCTCTAGTACTAGTTTAGCCCCAATACTATGGTGCTGACTTTGAGTATTCTCCCTGATGCCTCTTATGTGTATTCTTTCAACTATGGCTGATGAGAATTATTCCCAGCCGTATATAGTTTCCTGTGATTTTTTTTTTATTGTTAGTTTCAGGTGTACAGAACAATGCAATAGTTACCCTTTTCACCCTCACAAAGTAACAACCCCCCTCCCCCCATC